CCTGTACCATAGGCCCCCGATTTATTTGCCCAACGGCTTCGCCGTTACCGCCTTCGCTGTGAGCTATGCGAGCGTCTCAGAGCGGTGCTAGCTTGTGAAAGCGGTGTTTAGCTTGTGGAGCACAAGAAGCTCAGCTAGTGCTTGTCTTGCAGTGTTGCAGGTGTTCCGCCCAGCTTGGCGCTGGGATGCTCGGCTTGATCAGGTCCACAAGGAGCTCTTGGACGTCGGAAGTCAAAGTGAGACCTGACCGAGGATGGATGGAGGATCCTAGAGGGCACTTGTTACTAGTAGCGAACATTGTTTCTAATAGCTTCTTGTTACTACTAGTAAGGCACCTGTTACTACTAGCGTGGCACCTGTTCCTAGTAGCGAGGAGACCTGACCGAGGATGGAGGATCCTAGAGGAACCGTCGGCGACCGGTTGCCTCGGCGCTGAAAACGGCGCTGGACACAAGGCATCACAGCGAGTGCCGAAAAAGGCCACTACAGACGTCGCATCTATATAGTTCCCAATAGTTTCTTGTTACTAGTAAGGCACCTGTTGCTAGTAGCGAGGCACTTGTTTCTACTAGCGTCCTTGTTACTAGTCACCCTTTTTTCTAGACGTCTAGATGCTTTTTCAGTTGTGCGATCACAGCGCATGTTTGGCTCAAGATGATGGGCGGTCTTCGGTGTGGGAGCCAGTTGGAGCGAGACTCGCTCAAAAGCACGTCTGGCGCGAGAGGTTCGACAAGGCACCACGGTGCTGTTTGGAGCAGAAACAGCGCTCCTTCTTTCAGCTCTTTCGGCTCTTTTTCGTTGTCTTTTCTATTGCTCTTCGTTGGCGCTTCGAGTGATGAGCCTTGCTCCAGCAGCTCACTCCTGGTGATGATCCGAGACTATGCCCCAAATTGTATCGGAGCATGTCCAGCGATTTGCACACCGTTAGAAGGTCTCATCACAGCAGTGATGATGGGCGCAGATCCGATTGAAGTGATATGTCCTGTGTGGGAGATCTTCAGCTGCATGGGCCAAGAAGAAGTGATAGACTTTTGCACTCCTCTTTTGGATGCTGCCAAGGTTTATGCTGGCATAGATCTGCCGAGATCGGATTCAGAGCTTCGAGAAGCCTGCCATGTGACCACACAGGAAGCTGAAAGCACCGAAGAAGAAGCTGAAGAGGAAGAAGCTGAAGAGCCGAGCGCGAGCCAGTCTTTGTCCGCACAAAGCGGAACAGAGACGACCATCGACTCCGACACCATCTCGAATCAAACGAGCAACGAAAGCACCGAAACGACGTCGACGCAAACCCGGACCCAGACCACGGCCACGGCCACGAGTACCACCACGGCCACGGTGTCCGGAACGTCAACTGAGAAGACTGACACGAACGCAACGACGACGTTCGACATCCTGTCGCCTGTAGATGGCGACAATCTCACGGCTACCTTGTCCAACAGCACTTCCAACAGCACCGACGGCGAGGGCATCACAGTGGGCATGGGTGCAGGTGGAGGGGAGTCCAAACAAGCACGATTCAAGTTCCAATGTGTTTTGTCGGATTTAGCCCAATTGCTTTGTGCATTCCATTGCGTTCCCCAAATTGGTTCCCCAGGCTCCACCAGCATTTTAACAGAGAACTCTACAACGACAGCCTTTGATGCCGTCTTCTTGGATGCAGCGCATGGTGCCGAGCTTGGCGGTCAGCCGACCACATACAGCTACAGCTGCTACCGCCATGCTACCGCTACCAGGTATCTATCATTTCCTCATAAAGCAATGCGTTAGCTAGAAAAACTGTTCGTTTCCCGTACGAAATCAAGTATGCGCAAAGTGCGGCTACGTTGATCAATACTCTTAGCAATTACCTTTGTTCGACATGTTGCGCCCGGTGGGTGCCAGTTCGTCTTTTCACATGTCCCACATATCCCCGCATTTTGTTTGCCTTGGTCACCTTGTCGTTCAGATGCACGCGGGCATACGCACAATGGCTTGAGTTGATTCCAATTTGATAAGAGTGCAGCGCAGCGGAAAGCAGGCCACACAAAGTTGTGATTGAGAAGTGGTGAGAAGAACTCGTATTAGGTTGGAGGCCATCGCTAGTAGGTTGGAGGCCATCGCTACTAGATTGGAAGCCATCACTCGTAGTCTTTGAGTCATTTTCCACCCCAGGTGCACCAAACATCCTGCAGTCCCCTACACAACCCACCTGTGCTCCTTTGAGCTTTGAAACACGTTCTGGCCCCAAACCCTAACACGCTTCTTTCACGCGTGGAGATCCACTTGCTAAAGCACAAGGAAAGGCGAAAAAGAGGTGAGGTGAGAGGGCAAGTCCGTGCAATCCAACTACATCAGATGGGACAGCATCGCGGTCAGATGGGCCATGTTGCACTGAGCATCCCTCCAAAGCTGGGCAGAAACGTGAGCCGCAGTTAAGCCACGAAGTGTGCAACAAATGAGCGGAGTGTTCCAGGATTGGAAAAAACCGTCAAACAAGCCTTTGGACCATAAAGTTTAACGCAATATTGGGCTACCAAGGTCTTGGCTATGGACTACTGTGTTGTCATTTAGCATCCCATCCCCAACCATGTGTTGGGAGGATCCCACACATAAACTGACAGACACGTGATTTCGGAGCGCATTCCGACCTGTGCCAATTCAGGTGCTTTCTTCTCGTGTTTCCTTTGTTTCATGGCGACCGCCTGGAGCATTTGATGCCGGAGGTGGAAATGAAAGCATTTCTTCACGTCGAATCCGACACTTCTTTCAAACACACAGGCCGCACACTGACGCAGACGTCTCAAATCGTCTCAAACTCGAGCATCAAAACCACTCACATCGTGTGAGCATCATTTGAAGAGGCGAGAATTGCGCCTTCCGAATTCATGACGTCAACTGACGCCACATGCATGAGGCCCTCAAATGAGCACCGGCTTGAATTTGGTCGAACGTCTTTGACGGTGTGAGATGGCCAAGTCACTCACAGCAAGTAGAAGCAACATGCCCCACAGGAAAAAACGGCAGCAAATTCCGGTCTGCACCACATTCTGTCCCAGATCAGTTTGCGGCATTTCGTGCTGCCTGAATGTCAGATTATTTTTCTACGGATCGTGAATGCCACTTCGCCTGTCACAAGTAGAACTGGGTTTAATCAAGTTCAAGCACTTCATGCCAAAACATGATTTCTGCATGTATGGAAACATGTCGTGGCATTGCATCAATGAAGAAATGCAAAAGGACAAGAACATGAAACAAAATTGAATAATCAATCAGGGTACTGTAGGCACTAGAGCAGCACGACCAACATAACAACAGGCCTAGATGTCAAAGTAAAACATTTTGACCATTTATTTTAGAAGCTAGTAGTAACAAGTGCCACGCTGGTAGAAACAGGTGCCTTACTAGTAGTAACAAGAAGCTATTATTTTAATTTGGAGCGTCATGGCATCCTGTGGGGATTATCAGCTCTACCGCTTTCACCTGGGCACTGCAGTGACCATTCCACGTGAAGACGCGGACGAAGACGCGACAGACGCGAAGTTGACTTCGTTCGACGACCCACAAGACGAAGTGCCTTTCGAAGCTGATGTACACCGCATCTCAGATCAGTATATTTTTGAGACTGTTGCGGAGTGCATGCCGAGTTTGTCACGGGTGAGCAGCGTCCCCGATTTCTTGGATTTTTTCGAAGAATTCTCCGGGGACAAAGAGGCTACAACAAAGTTTGTGGTGGCGATTGCGGCTTTCTTTGGTGGGAACTTGATTGCTCGAGGGCAGTGGCAAGAACTTTTGACCTTTATCATTGCCTTCCTGGTGGTCTTTGTTTTTCATTTGCCTTTTCTGGCCAGAACCACGTCTTTGGTATTGGTGTGCTACTGTGTGAATTCATTGAAGACTGATGGAGTATCAGTGGAATGGGCAGCTCCTTGCATTTCACAATATCACACTTCATGTTCCTTCACCGTTTTGTTTTTTTGTCTATTGGTTCAAGTGGTTTCTGCGCTTTGGAATGTGTTCATACGTGTGTTCGTGTGATTCCGTTACTTCTTTGATCCCAGACTTAGGTGACGGTGGCAGTTGTGATTTTCTTAGCAGTGTTGGCAGTGATGCTGATTCGGATGGCCTCCAAACAAGACCCTCGCAGCTACGTGTTGCTTCCATTTCACATGGCGATGGCACTGAAGGAGATTGATCGGAGATCGGCATTTCTCACGGTACGAATTTGGAAAGCGAAAAAGGCTTGTAGCGTCCTTGTTTTGATAAATTAAAGTTGCGTAACCAGGACGCTACTAGGCCCTCCTGGGCGTACTACTAGGAGCAATGTTCGCTACTAGAAGCTACTAGGGGCCTGGCATCGCTACTAGCTCTTGGAACTAATCGTGAACTCCTGGTGGCCACCTTTCAGGAAGAGAACGGGAAAGAGACGGAGACGACGACTTCCGTGTCCATTTGGAATCATCTTCATATGGATGTGAAGGTCCTTTGCTTCAATCCCACTGACCGCGTGCAGTTTATTCCAAAGGGTGGTTTGCTGCCATCCAATTCCGTAGTTCGACGAGGTCAGCGGATCCAACTGAAGGACAAGACCGCTACTCCGTACAGAGCTCTTTGGTGAAATCCGAGATGTGCGAGATGAGTTGTGAGATGTTATTGTTTCTAATAGCTTCTTGTTACTACTAGTAAGGCACTTGTTACTAGAAGCGATGCACTTGTTCCTAGTAGCTTCTTATTTCTATTTACTTATTGTTTCTAAAAGCTTCTTGTTACTACTAGTAAGGCACTTGTTACTAGAAGCGATGCACTTGTTCCTAGTAGCTTCTTATTTGTATATATTTGTATTTGTTTGTTCAGCTTTCCACTGAATCTAACATGAAATGTCTGGATGTCGTGAAAGGTCCTGACATGTCTCCGCCGAAACCGTTCTAGGTCTCCTTCTTCTCAAACTGAGGGGCCTTTGACGGTGAAGATCTTCGCACCCTTCGAAACCGAGCTGGGCACGTGGAGCTCACTGACGGGGACATGGATCTTGCGTGCGACTGCGCCTCCGGTGATTCTCAGCCGTCATCCGAGGCCTGTCAAGTTGAATGCCTAGAATGAGTCGAGAATGAACGGTTTAGTAACAAGTGCATCGCTAGTAGTAACAAGTGCCTTACTAGTAGTAACAAGAAGCTATTAGTAATTTAGTTTAATTTTCTAAAATTCTAATAGCTTTTTTGTTACTAGTAGTAAGGCACTTATTGTTACTACTAGCGTGGCACTTGTTACTAGTAGTAACAAGAAGCTAGTAGAAACAAAGCACGGACTTCTTAGGTCCAGCATTGTCCGTTCCGTCTCGTGCCTTTGAAACGCGTCTCTCTTGATAGCTCGAACGGATCAAATTGTAATACTGCTTGCTGCGCCTTGCTGTGTTGCCCACAGACATTGCCCCAACTTGTTTGGCAAGAGCTGATAGAAACCTTTCAGCCCTTGTGTTTACCTGGAATTTTCTCGGTATTCAAGAATGTTCAAGATGTTGGCTGCACAGCAAATCAAAGCATTTACCCTGCCAAAGGGAGAGTTGTGAAATGTCAAAGTGTGCAAGTCACCTCTACTGAAGCGCAAAGAAGAATGACTTTTGAAGGTGTTGTTGTTCCTTTGGCCAATCGCTTCTGCCAGGCCACTTTTCAAAAACATGAGCGAAGATAGTGTGGTGGTGGTGATCAGTGAGTGGGACTGGACATGCAGCCTGTGGCTTCCTTTGTCTCAGATCTTTGCTCGACTTTGGCATGGCTCGACCTTGGCTTCGCTGAGGAGCACTTCTCCGTGCCGCACGTTGGACTGTGAAAAGCTCGTGTCCAGCTTTTGGAGTAGCCCAGCTAGCTGCCCAGCTAGCTCCACACGGAGCGGAGCATCCCGCTGTTGTGTGGTGAAATCCAACTCTCACATCCCGCTGCGTCAGAGCGGGTCCCGACCATCCCGCTACGTCCTGAGAGTCTACAGCGGTTTGGTGGGTTCCTTGGGACTTTGGGGTGGTTTCATCGAAAGAGCCTGTTGCATCTTGGAGCCTGGAGAAGACGTCGAGTATGAAGGAATCACGTCCTGGTCCAGCTTCAACTCGAACCGGAAGAGTGGTGAGAATCGTATTCTCGATCTTTCAGCGGTTTCATCTCTTCTCTCTTCGAGCGGTCAAAAAGACGACATTGCTCCGTTCGTCGCGCCCTTTAAACACGTCACGGCGACAAGACCGAGTTAAGGCGACACACGAGTTAAACAAACGTGACGCCACCGACAGAGGCCCAGGCACCGAGCGCAGAGGTGGTTGAGTCCACATCACGCATCGCCAGAAGCACATGATTTATCGCCAATCAGCTACGAACGGAGCAAGGATGGATAGCAAGGGCATCGCTACAAACGGAGCATCACACAGTCACATTAAATACTTGTAATACTTGTTTCTGAAAATACCGCATTTCCACATCTCTCCACCCTGTGCCGCTTGTCTCACCCTGTCACCTGTGAGCCACATCGATTGCCCAGATGGGGGG